CTCTCATACTCACACGCACTCTCTCTCATACTCACACGCACTCTCTCTCATACTCACACGCACTCTCTCTCATACTCACACGCACTCTCTCATACTCACACACACGCACACACACACTCACACATATACACTCACACACACACACACACACACTCTCTCTCTCAAACATGCGCGCGCACACACTCTCTCACATTCACACATACGCGCACACACTCTCTCTCACGCGCACGCACGCCCACACTCTCATACTCACACACACACACATACACTCACACACACGCGCGCGCACTCTCTCTCACACATACGCGCGCGCACCCTCTCTCTCACACATACGCGCGCGCACACACTCTCTCTCACACATGCGCGCACACGCACACACACTCACGTACACTCACACTCACGCATACGCGCACACACACGCATACGCGCACACACACGCATACGCGCACACACACACGCATACGCGCACACACACACGCATACGCGCACACACACACGCATACTCACACACACACGCATACTCACACACACACGCATACTCACACACACACGCATACTCACACACACTCTCTCATACTCACACACACGCACACACACACACACACATATACACACACACACACTCTCTCTCTCTCTCAAACATGCGCGCGCACACTCTCACATTCACACATACGCGCACACACTCTCTCTCACGCGCACGCACTCACGCGCACACACTCTCTCACGCGCGCTCTCACACTCTCTCTCTCACACACAAAGAAATGCATATACTTCAACGCACGCATGCACGGATACACAAACACACACAGACACATATCCACTGCCTGCCCCCTCTTCAGGCTGTCAACTTTGACCCCGACCAAAACAAAACAAGTTTGTGACTGACACCATCCCTCAAAGACCAAAATGCAGACACCAAGAACTGATCTACTGCGCCAGGCTTTCCATTTCTCTCTCAGATACCGAGTATAGCTGTCCTCCATCAAACACTCCCAGGGGCAGGGACAGCACGGGGTCAGATGCCGAGTAAAGCTCCCTCTGCACTGTCCCCCCATCAAACACTCCCAGGACAGGGACAGCGACAGCGACAGCACGGGGTGAGATACAGAGTAAAGCTCCCTCTACACTGTCCTCCATCAAACACTCCCAGAGACAGGGACAGCACGGGGTGAGATACAGAGTAACACTCCCAGGGACAGGGACAGCGACAGCACGGGGTGAGATACAGAGTAAAGCTCCCTCTACACTGTCCTCCATCAAACACTCCCAGAGACAGGGACAGCACGGGGATAGATACAGAGTAAAGCTCCCTCTACACTGTCCCCCCATCAAACACTCCCAGGGCCAGGGACAGCACGGGGTTAGATACAGAGTAAAGCTCCCTCTACACTGTCCCCCCATCAAACACTCCCAGGACAGGGACAGCACAGGGTGAGATACAGAGTAAAGCTCCCTCTACACTGTCCCCCATCAAACACTCCCGGTGCAAGGACAGCATGGGGTTAGATACAGAGTAAAGCTTCCTCTACACTGTCCCCCTATGGAAGCCTCCCAGGGACAGGGACAGCACGGGGTTAGATACAGAGTAAAGCTCCCTCTACACTGTCCCCCCCATCAAACGCTCCTGGTGCAAGGACAGCATGGGGTTAGATAGAGTAAAGCTCCCTGTACACTGCCCCCCCTGTGGAAGCCTCCCAGGGGCAGGTTACTGTAACGGTGCGATGGGATGACTGTGGGTGCGATGGGATGACTGTGGGTGCGATGGGGGGCTGTTTGCCTGGAACACACACACAATGTGAATGGACCAGCCTTGCTGTTGCCAGTTACTGTGTGTAGGTCAGGTGCCATTCTTGTTCCATACTGAACACTGACGTCTAACCCCAATAAAAGGCATGCAGGCTGTGGGGGGTCAACGTTTTCAAAAGCCAAACTTCTTGATGCATTTTACTGTGGTCAGAATATTAACACGCCTTAGCTTATCATCATGTGAGAGCAGAATTCATCTACAGCCACCTCCTGTTCTTGCCTAACAGCTAGAGGGGTTGAATGGCCTTGTACTATTCGCATGTAACAGTCACAAGGGCTGAACGGCCGCCCCCTGTTCCTGTGTAACAGCCTCAGGGAGGGGGGCTGAACGGCCTCCCCCTGTTCCTGTGTAACAGCCTCAGGGAGGGGGGGCTGAACGGCCTCCCCCTGTTCCTGTGTAACAGCCTCAGGGAGGGGGGCTGAACGGCCTCCCCCTGTTCCTGTGTGTCCTGCTCTACATATGGAGGCCCTCCATTGAGTTCCCTGCCACCAGGCCCTGCCCTAGAGACAGGGTGGGTGGGCAGAGCAGCGAGTCAGGCTGCGTGCTCTCCTACCTGAAAGGCTAGGTCGTGGTACTTCTGCTTCTCCTTGGGTCCCAGGGCATACCACCACTCTCCCAGGATCTTGCTGACCGTGCGGTTGTCCTGGTTGGGGTGCCGCTGGTGCACCAGGGCACGGTGACGCTTACTGAAGATCATGAAGGCATTCATTGGACGTCGGATGTGGTCCTTCTCTCGCTGTGGTGTTGGGGGGGGGGGGGGGGCGGTGGTAAGAGAGAGAGAAAGATTAGAGTCTTAGATACATGGCCAACCCTGGCACAGCGTCAAGGCCTCAGCTTCCTCCCATTGCCAACACTGACTAACCACCCACCATCCAGGTGTAGTGAAGGAATCGGGAATAAAATGCGAAGCTGTGCGGTAACATGCTAACATGGAGCGAGGGCTGGCTACCAGGCAGGAAGCAGAGAGGAGCAATAAAAGAGCCTTTCTTGGTTGGGTGGATGTGATGGGGATCAGTGTGAGTGTGTGCTTGTGCATCTGCGTGTGCGCGGGTGGCTGTGTGTGCGTGTGCATGCGTGTGGACAAGTGTGTGTCTGTGTGTGTATGCACATGCATGTGTGCGTGCATGTGTTTGTGTGTGCGCACGCGCGCGTCTCTGGGCGTGTCCCTATATTCCTCAGTGTGTGGGTGTCAGTGTGTGCGCGTGTGTGCATGCGCGGTGTGTGCGTGCACGTGTGCATGGGGTGCATATACCTGTGTGCACGTATGTGTGGTGTATATACCTGTATCATGCACGCGCGCGCGTGTGTGTGTGTGTGTGGTGTATATGTGTGTGCGCGCGCATGGAGGGGGGCTGTGTGCTCGTGGATGGGGAGGGTGTGTATGTGTGCGGGGGGGGGTGATGTTTGTGTGTGGATGGGGGGGGTGTGTGTGCTGGGGGGGATGTGTGCGTGTCGGTGGGGGAGGGTGTGTCTGTGCGGTGTGGAAGTGGCGTTAACTGTAATATTTCAGAGGATATAAAAGCCGGTGGGAAGGGTTAGCTGTGAGGAAGGTGGGGCAGTTTCTAATGTCACACAAAGCCAGGTGAAGCAGGCTGGAAGGCAAATAGCATGTCAGCCTTTATCACAAGAGGATCCAAGTGCAGGCGTCTGGTCTTGGTTCCCTGATGAGACCACCGTGTGCAGTTCCGGTCTTCCTTTCCTGAGGAAGGATAGAGCTCGCCCACAGAGAGAGTGCAGCAGAGATTCCCGGGATGGTGGGACTGCCTAATAAGGGGAGAGGCGGAGAAGCCTGGATCTGTATTCTCCTGAACGAGGGGTGAGAGGGTCAAATCTGACAACGTTGTTAACGGGACAGACACAGTAGGTGCAGAGAGGCCCCCCAACCAACCCCAGCTGAGGGAAAAATGGTCAAACCGTTCCATACTGAGACAAGGAGGAATGCCTGAACTAAAACGTGGTGAAACTGTGTAATTCCCGATCCCAGAGAGAGTTGTGGGAGAGCACAATGCTGTTCAGGAATAGGGAGTCGTGGGCAGGGATAGGCTGGAGGCCGAGTGGAGCCATTCCAGTCCCTATATTCCTCAGCCCAGGCCACAGTATGTCATCCCGAGGTAGTGGAGCCATTCCAGTCCCTATATTCCTCAGCCCAGGCCACAGTATGTCATCCC